ACTTGTAGTATTCAGATTTTAGTTTTGCTACATATCTTTGTTTTTGCATTGTAATAATGAGTAAAAAAAACATCTACACAGGACTGTCCCCACATGTTATGCTCACATTTGATATTTTCAATTATACTTAATTTTTATAGCCCCAGGATTGCGTTTTATGACTAATTGTGGTAAAAACGTACCTTGTCAGACAATCCTTGACATGTTTAGTAGTGTCGAAATTTAACTTGCTACATGTTTCGGTGGTTCTTCAATTTCGACACTACAAAACATGTCAAGGATTGTCTGACAAGGTACGTTTTTACCATAATTAGTCTTAATACTTTTATAGTTAATATTCACAACGTTTTATTAACTAAAAGTCTATTTACTTAATGATCTCATACACACAATTCTTAGATAAAGTTCACTGATTTTTGTAGGATTAACTTTCTCAGTTTTACCATAGATTAAACTCAGAAACCCCTGCAAATTTCTTCTCGGGATACAGTTTCCGCCAAAGGCACATATTTTATGTAAATGTCAACTTGGTGCTTCTCCTTTTGTCTGTTGTCAACAATAATTCACCCCTTGAAACCAGTGCTCTTACTTAAAAATATACAGTATAAGCAATACAAATTGTTGAATACGAGTTAAACCTCTTACATTTGATATAGATAAATGTTTATGGATTAAAAATAATTTAGCACAACGTTTCAGACATTGCCTTTTAATTTAATTGAGTTCAAAATAAACATATAATTCCAAGCATTCAATTTTACGATTATAATTTAATTATATTTTATTCTTTTGTATGTTTCAAAGATCTAAAATATTTTAGATAACATGATTAATTAAGGCCATAATTAAAAATTGAGTTTTTATTCATAATCGAACTGGGTGGATCGAATCAGTGACCTCTACATTCTTAGGTGATCACTATCACCACTCAGCTACCCGAACAATTAATCGGAATAATTACCCTCATCCTTTGTGCTGCATTTATTTGTGTTTTACCTTTGTTTGAAAACTGAAAAAAACCATTCCAAATAGCAAAAACTAATAATGATTTAAGACATACACATAGAATTATCATTGGTCCAACAATCCACTCGTCGTTGCCATTCAAAGGAGGTTTGTTTGTGATGAATATTTCTTGCATAAGTGGAAGCTGATGAGGATAGTAAATGTATGTAAATGGATGAAAGTGACGGTGGTAAGGGCTGTGTAATATTCACTTCAGAGCCTTTAGAGCTTCTCAAAGCTCAATAGTCACCAAAGTTGACGATTACATAAACAAAAACGAGATTAAGACTTGGATGTTTGGTGTTTAATAAAGTACATGCCATAAATAATATAATGTTAAACACTGTGCTATGACAGCAAATAAACTAAATACAACATAATTTGGCTATAAGTGAACCAAAAGCAACATGATTTTTCAATTTGAAATATGATTACCTTACTCCACTAATTTTCATGGTCTGTGTCTATTAACAAAAGAATTACATCGAAGAAAAGGTGTTTTTTAGATAGCAATAGTACGTTGCAAAGACATATAAAGTAATGTAAAATTATTAGCCTTGTTGAATTTACTGAGATTAATCCAATGTTTAAAAACAACGTAGATTCTACACTTAAAATATGACGAAAATATATTTGAAATCTAGATAGCAACATTCGTAATCAAATTAGCTAAACTGCTCAGATAAATTCTTAGCTTTAAAACTATAGCTGTCATTTTTAAAAGCCAAAAAGTGGGTTATTCTGAATGACCACTGATTTTTACAAAGCTATTGAATAGGCAACCGAGCTCAAACTAAACACAGCTGCATCTAAGCGTTATTTTGCACATTAAGAGCTGGTTAAAGACACACAAAAGGTCATACTAGTTTCAAGTTTAAGCCATCATACCTTTACTATAATGTGGTTTTAGGATCAATAAATTATAACTATTCAAAAAATGTACAAATAAAGATGTTTATTTACGTCTTGAAATTGTCAATAAACAATATAATCCTTAAGTATATCAAAACAATTTATTTTAAAACAAATAAATTGTTTAGCCAACAATAACTTTTCCTCAATGTTCTCATTGTAATTGAAGGTTAACTGGCATTATCCAACCATTACGTCTTACTTGAACAGATGGTGTGAGTGCCCAAATTGGCCTATTACATGATGTCCATTCTCTTGATGTTCCACCTGATGATTTTCAAAGTGATGTCCTCCGAAGTGATGTTCCTCATGCTCATGATGCTCATGGACATGGACCGGGATGTGAACCGGAACCTTGACTGGATACGGCACCTCCTTCTCCACCGGGTAGGGAACCTTCTTCTCTACGTAGACGGGGTAAGGCTTCTCCACAGGGTAGGGGACTGGCTTCTCAACTGGCACCTTGACGGGGTAAGGAACTTTCTTCTCGACGGGGTAAGGCACGTGTTTGACAACAGGAACGTGATAGGGGACAGGCCGGGGGACATGCACCTTGACCGGGTAAGGGATGTGTTTCTCTACAGGGTAAGGCACCTTCTTCTCTACGTAGACGGGGTAAGGCTTGGGTATATGCACGGGTACTAGCCTCAGGACAGGCACATTCACAGGGTAAGGAATCTTCTTCTCGACAGGGTAAGGCTTAGGGATGTACTCCTTGACAGGGTAAGGCACTTTCTTCTCCACAGTCACCGGGTAAGGTTTCTCCACAGGGTATGGGACCGGCCTCTCGACGTGCACCTTGACAGGGTACGGTACCTTCTTCTCCACGTGGACCGGGTATGGCACCTTCACCTCCTTCTCTATCGTGATGGTCTTCATCTCGTGGTGGCGATGGTTGCTGAAGTCGTGGCCTCCAAAGTGATGCCCTCCAAAGTCGTGACCTTCAAATCCATTATGATTTTCAAATTGCTCGATGCCTCTCTTCTTTGTAGAATTTTCTTCAGCAGACACCAAAGCTATAATAAAAAGTGTTGCTAGGACCTTCATCGTAGGAACTGGGAGATGATGTGATTTTTCACTGGGCATATACGTGTCTTATATACAGGCGAAGGATTCCTGTGTAACTATCTCAATGATATAACATCCTGATGAAGAACAAAGACGCTAATCGCATAACATGCTTTTAATTGGTACTGGTTATATTACCAGATACAATCTTGTATTTTTGACGTTTTCTTATATTTATTCACACACAAGTAGGATGATCAATAGAATGCAACATTCAGCACAATTGGTTTTACAGAAAAAGGGAGAACCACTAAATTGCGTTTAAAATCCAATCCATCCAGGCATTGGATCCAGGCATTTAATCTAAAAGTTAATATAATTTTAATTTGAGTTTGTGTCGGTGATGATATTCTACAAGCGAAACGCTATACTTTACAGTTTTAAATGTTTTTGACATTAACTAAATACAAGAACTACAGTGTAACACAAATTTTAACCTCACTACACTTTTGAATTCCTTAGGGATATAGGATAAACCCTAATACTCTTCTTAGAAATGATATAACGTACCGGCAATTTGTGTACGAACTTTTTGTGAAACGTTTGTAAAACACACACATAGAGGTCCCGAATACTGATTAAAATGTGTACCCCTCTCGTAATATTGCAAAAAATGTTCCACTATAGAATAAATGACATTTACTTTAAATTCCCTAAAGAACTTTGGGATCTCACGAATTTTGATCATAATTTTTCGTAAACCTTACAGGTGTTCACCAACCATGGTCGGTTGGTGGGTATTTAAACCAATCTAGCTGTATCTTAACACTCCAAAGCCTCTGATAGTAAATATTACAGAGGTGTTGGCGTCGTCAGTTTCGTCCATTTACATACATTTACCACTCCACTGAGTCTAACCCTCCAGTGTAATGGCCATGCAATCTAAGTGGTGTATCAGTTTTAACAAACGTCAGACATACGATGTTTTATAGTACATCGGTGTTTTTGTGAACGGTAAAATAAAACTATAAAAATGTACTTCCTTGAAAGATTTGTTGGAACTAACTCAAAAATTCAGGATAGTTTGACAAAATAAAACTAATTACTAATAAGGTTTTTTCTAGTAACATTTAATACACATTGTATGTGTTTTTAGATATAGTTAAATTTCATGGCTGTTTATATCATAATATAAGATAAGAATTGTTTAAGGTGATTTCACATTATTTGGATATAAACTAATATACAGTTCTTATCTTAAATTTAATCATTGGTTCAGTATGCCATTCATTGTCCTTATAGTTAGGTAGCTTAGGGATGGGAAACAACTTTCCATTGTATTTAAAACATAAAACCTTTGTTTATTCAATAAGCCGATGGGAGTATGTTACAGTATGTATTTCACAGTTCCAATCGGCTGGATTCAAGAATTGAGTTCCAAATCTCATACTTAGTAACATTTGCTATTCAACCACAGAACTGCCACCCGAATGTTCGTTTACCTTCACTACATGAGTTCAATTTTTTTGATTGTTTTTGGAGACGGAAATCTTGAGTACTGTCGTGGTCACAGAAGATTAACGGATGTTCCAACGATGTTAGTGGTAGGATTACGACGACCTTACTGAAAATAAGTTTTACACAATTGTAAGATAAATTTGAAGTTTAGGATGGATCCTAGATTAAATAAATATTGTAATGGTAATAACTTAATTTCATATTGTATTTAAAAAACAAAAAAAAACTACACTGGTACTAAATGTTTATTTCGACCATTCTCACTTCAAATTAACAATGAAGATCGTGAGGAACCAAAGTTATATAAGTTGTGGTTGAAACTGGATGAGATAACAGGAAATTGGACTGAATTGGCATGAGTAAATTACACTTTTGGCCGACATTCCATATCCCAAGAACAGATATATAATCCAGCACACGCACTGCCAGAGCACACAGCAAGGATGGCCGCTCTACTGGCAACATTGTGTCTTCTGACGGTAGCCTCCGCCGAACACTTCCATCACCACGTCCAACATCATCACGAGCACGTCAAAGCCATCACGGTGACCAAGAAGGTGCCTGTGCCGTACCCTGTCATCGTCGAGAAGAAAGTGCCTTACACCGTCGAGGTACCAGTCGATAAACCGTACCCGGTCCACGTGCCCAAGCCGTACCCCGTCTATGTCGAGAAGAAAGTGCCGTACACGGTCAAGGAGTACGTCCCGCAGCCGTACACGGTCTACAAGAAGGAGCCGTACCCGGTCGAGATGCCCGTCGACAAGCCGTACCCCGTCCACGTCCCTAAACCTTACCCCGTGGTCGTCGAGAAGAAAGTACCTTACACGGTGGAGAAGCACGTGCCGTACCCTGTAAAGGTGGCTGTGGACAAACCTTACCCCGTCCACGTGCCTGTCGTCAAGCATGTCCCGTACACTGTAGAGAAGAAGGTGCCTTACAAGGTAGAGGTGCCTGTGGAGAAGCCCGTACCTGTGTCTGTGCCCAAGCCTTACCCGGTCGTTGTAGAGAAGAAGGTGCCTTATACAGTAGAGAAGCCGGTGCCTTACCCCGTCAAGGTGCCTGTATATCACCATCACAACCATCGATCTGGATATGGGTTGGAACAAGAAACTCACAGTTTTGATCACAGCTTTGGCCATCAACATACCGGTCATGGATATAATTTCTGAAGTGTACATCTACAAAATCTTTAAACTGTACAAACTATTTTTAAGTAAAATATAATTTGTTGTTCAAGTAAACCAATGTGTTTAGGTTATTTCTCATGAATGATAAAATTATTTACAGTCAGAAATTGTATACTTGTGAGAGAAAAATCATCAATTTCTTAATATTTCAAATGATATTTTAATAGTCTCCGGTCCTAAATGAACAGTATATAGTATTAGTATTGTCTGTATATGTATCTTTTTATATTTATCTACCAAATTATTGCATCTGCCATTTTCTTAGTATTGAAATCTTACTTATACTATTTTAACATTCACACATTACACATATTCCAGACGATATAATCAACTTTTAAATGTTATACAATTCATTAGGGCTGAAAATCTATTTGATCCAGTTTCTAGTAAAGTTTTTTATAAAATATTTAGTCTAATGACCCAACCAGAGTTAGATAATTGCCAATATAACTCTCACCAGTGAACTAGTAGCTATTTATTTTGAGTAAAGCGAAAATATCGTTTAAGCGGAGCGCGGGCCAGAAGCCTGATGGCGGTGTTTTCCGCTGCAGACTCTCATACATCTCCCGCCATGGCGCCACAGCCGTGCCTCTGTTTACATTGTTGTGTTATTGTTATAAACTGCGCTCAGTTATGGCGAAATGTTCAGAAAATATTAAATATTGGGCAAACAATAAGTTATTTATTTGACTGCAGTTTTTGTCTATAAATCTAAGGTCAGGTTAAGGTTAATGCATAGATATTCGTTTGTAGATTTAGATTTTTAGTTTTTAATAAAAATTATATTTGGCTTATGGCAGATTATAAAAACTGTTTCCTTTAATAAAAAAATCATGTCTGTCTTTACAACTGGGACCATTCTATACAAATCTCTTCAACGTTCACTATTGTAGTTTGCCTGCCCAGTATGGCGAACTGCTTTATGAAGCTCAAATCGTAAATTGCAAACCTTTTAAAATAAAGTTTTAATTATAATCCTAAAACGTCCCTGGTATGTTCAAACCCGTCAAATGCATTTAAAACTGGGTATCAAGCCTATAGAGGATTTCATCAAGAAAACTACCTTAAAACTCTTTATAAAACTTCTATTAACCAGCAGCATTGGATTGTATAACACAGGTTCTGAAATCCAGAGACTCCGGCTAAAACCCAGGTTGCCTCAAGATGTCTTACTATAACCCTTTTTCCATTTGTGTTCCATTCTGAAGAATTCTGTGTTCCATTTATGTATGCTTAGTGTCTTACAGTGAGACCCATAGAAACAGTGTCAATGTCTGAGGGCTAGCTATAGCTGACCCCTACCTATGTGAAAGTTAATATGCTATTTTGTTTCTGTGTTATATCTGATCTGTATAGCAATGTAATGCTGATCTAATAAATTGTAAAAAAATAGATAGCCTCCATGAGAATAATAAAAGGTTAATTATTATAGAAAGATTCCAAAACATGGTTTGAGTAAATTTTACTTAACTTACTAAAGTTTTAATAGGTTACTGTGCAGATGAGATGTCTCAGGAATTACCATGTAGAATTTCAGCTTTTAAAAAAATACCTGGAGACTTTAGGTACTTCTATTATGTTTTGTATTGGGGAGCGAGCTGGCGTAGTGGTTAGAGCGCGGGACTTCAGTCCCTGAGGTCCCGGGTTCGATCCCCGCCAAGTCACCAATGGAATTTATCTAAGTGATAATGCCGCAACCCCTAGGTCTAGCCTGAAGTAATGTGAAAAACAATCCCAGGCTCGTGCCTAGCGTCCTAGGACAAAAAAAAAAAAAAAAAAAAAAAAAAGTTATGTTTTGTATTTAGAAGAAATGTATAATAAGTTTGAAATTATTTACACGCCAAAACAAGAATAGCCTACTTGTCAAGGCAACCGGCAGTAAATAAAATTTGTGATATTGTTTCTAACCCTAAAATAAGTTGAGTGAAACCAAATGTAAATTTTACTAATGGAAACCTTTCAATCAGATCATAGCACATTTATTGCTGAAAATAAAAACGGGAGCCAACCGTAAGACTATATTTATCAATAATAGGCTTCTCGTGTTTATTTGAAATATAAAATGAGGGTGGATTTAGCTATTTTTGTTCTCCAACGATTTGTAAGTTCCTCTATAGTTTTTCCTTTTGGTTTACTGTTTACACTCTTGAATCATAAAAAATTATCAGTTTAAATTGCAAAGATGGTCATTTCAAAACGTTTAGTAGTCAAACAATATCCAATGTATACTGAAGGTTCAGTTAATCAACTGAATATATTAATTTTTTATTCTAATGAACAAATAGAACAAAGCCAAACTACGAAACTACAATAAACGGAAGTCAGTCAGTGTAACAAATGACAACTATGTTCTAACTAAGTGCTAATCAGCCGTTGCAGTACAGAAACGGTAACTTAGTCTTGAACATGGCTTCTACCTGGGTGATATGGTTTACGGTTCTATTCACTTTTTATATAACAGCCGCTGTCGATGAGAGCGATTCTAGCTTTAATTCTACCAAAGTTCTTTCACGGCGAAAGAGGTACCTTACCTTTCCAGAAGGCAGCACTTTTTCTGTAAGTTTAATCTATATTTCTTACTGCAATAATGAGTTGTCTTTGTAACATCCCTATTTCACCTGTTTTACCGAACCAGTTTTTCACGATTTTGGTGTAGTTTTAAAGCTTATGATCTAGTGGGTGAAGGAATGTTTAGCAAAAAGGCAATATCCTTTAGTTTCGTTCCATATACTTTGATTTATTAAAAATTGTGCTGTCAAAGATCCAGTAATGCTGACCAACTTTCTTTATAACTGTTTAAGAGTTTTAAAGTTGAATGTTTGACCACAGCCAGATTGTTAAGAAACGAAACAGTTTTTGAAAATTGAATTTAAATACTAATTTTATTGATAATTGTATCCCGATTGAAGTAGGTAGAACCCTATTAAAATGGGTAATTTCCAAACAGATCCCCTCATCTTTGTCGGTGTTTAGGGATTGTTCTTTGGACTTTTGCAAGGCTACCAACATTATTAAGGTCTTTTTACATTATTAATTTGCTTATATAATCAGCAAGATTTTCTAGTCTAGAAGTGCTGGATTTAGAGCGTGAAGCGAAATCCAGTACGAAAACATTGCCGAAAATTTATTTTTATAGACCCATTGAATGTTAATCATCACCGCACAGTGTTGACTCTCAAAATAAGCTTATTTACCCTTCGATCTAAACAAAACTGACATCATTGTTGTTTCCATTGCTTCAATTAAAATAACAACGGTCTTTTCCGTTTCGTTAGTGTATTTTATTTAGCTAATGTTTTTAAATTTAAGTACAGTTTGGGGTTTTACTGTATTCATACTTCAACTAAACCAACTGTAGTTTTATTAACTGTTTCCGAATCGTATGTATTGTTGACCTAACTATTATATACTAAATAATTTTTCTGGTAAAATTTTTTTGTAGTGCTATCAGTGACCGAAATATCTGTATTAACAACAAAGATGAAACTACGTATTCAGTATTTGGCAGAATATAAGGTAGGATACAACAGTGCCACTTTAAAGGGTTTGCCTATTTTTGTGTTTACCTGTTAACTAAGGTAAAGTATGTGGTATTGTAATTATCCTATGTATTCAGTCATGTTATGCACTAAATAACTTTCAAGATGTATGTTGATCTGGTGTAAAGGAATGTACTTAACTTGTACTCTTCGTGGCAAAATTATACTTTATGCACCTTCAAAGCTCCTTAAAATTGGATATCATGACATTTCTTTGTATCATCCCTCTACATTTAATTGTAAGTTTAACCACAATATATTTGAATGGCTGTATACAGGAAATTAAAATAAAATCGCTGCACATGAAACTGAGCTGTTTTGAGGGATAAGTTGTTTTATTGATTTCGTTGCTATCATTTGTTCATGATATGTTGTGTTGTTGTTGATGTAGTTTTAGTGGTTCATATATTAGGAAATAGACTGACTATCAAAAAGGAGCTCTAAAGAATGAACGGGTACTAAATAAATTAAAAATCTACTATTCATAACACGGCTAAAAAATGACTTAAAATATCTGCGGATAAAATTTTAAATGGTTCCAATATTTTGATAAAGACATTTATCTTGTTAGTACATTCGTTGTGGTCACTACTTTAAGCAAATTTCGAAAATCATAAAAATCTTTTTCACTGGAAAATTTATAAAATTGCTGATTTCCTTTGTCTTGTGTTGTTAACAGCTGCAAACGAAGTCAAATCGCTTATACTTTGATCAGCTGTTTTTTTAGACATATGGTTTAAACTGCAGTAAAAGTTTAGTCTTAAAATATTGTGTGCTTCTGCGAGATTCTTGTGCGCTGCCATTTCTTATGAATGTGGTTTTCTTTGGATAATCAGGCCTCTAGATGGATGACGTCTCATTTATGTTTTATGGTCTAGAATAACTTACGTGTTCTTAAACATCCCATCTTTCAGTTTGCGTTCTGCATGGAGCTTAAGACAGTAACTCAGGACATTGACATATTCACTGAAGGTGTAGCAGTTGCCGCCAACTATGACCTTCCCTCCAAACCTGATCAGCTGTTCACGGTCAAGTGGAAGTCACCACCACCACCAGCTGTGCTGCAGCGACGACATCGTCGTAGTGTCTACAGCAGGATGGAGAATCTGTTTAACCTGTAAGTCTAAAAGCTACGGTAGTATTATTTTTATCGATACGCTCGACTTTAATCAGGATCGATCTGACAGCCTTCTGGTAGTAAGGTTATCACTTGGCTACCACATAGAGATTGAATTACACATGTACTATCCACGAAGTGGATTGAATCATGGTTCAAGCTCTAGGGAATATCCGAAGTGGATGACAGGCTCAAGAATACAACTCTGTGCTATATTATTTGTAAATGGTTTGGGATTGGCTTATTCGTCCTATAAAACCGATTTGTACAGTTGAATCAGTTGTAAAGGAAAATCATGAATTGACGCAATCTATCAAGTATCACTGACTGACCAGCAAAGAATGAAAATAATGTA